GTCATTGTCCTTTACTAAAAATTTCAACTTTACCTCTTATGGAGATGACAAAAGTATCCATTATTTTGTAGTGATATTTATAAATTACCCTTACTTAGTGATTAATACATTACAAAAATAATTTTATTAAAAAAATGAACCATAAAATTAATAAGTCCATCATTACAAACATAGAACGCTTGCCTATATATATATATATATAATGATCCTATAGGACGCTCGCCCACCCATGTTTGTAGGACTCCAAAGGATCACCATTAAATTTGGCACGGATCCTTAAAAAAGTTATCACAAGGGTATGACTTGACTTTTTTTGAGATTCGTGCCATATTTAATAGTGATCCTTTGGGGTCCTACTAACATGGGTGAGAGAAGGTCCTATAGGATCATTTCTCTCTATATATATATAAGAAAATGTTCAGATTATGAACATATGAACCAAACAGCTCAAATTGAATCTGAGCCGATCTATCGGTCACGACTTCATGTCGTATTTTAATTTTACTTTTTTGCTACAAATCTGGATAACTTGAAATTTTACGCGTCCATTCTTCTCATCAAGGCACACCTATTAAAATATTTAAAAAACAATTCACAAAAAAAAAATGATCAAAATACCCCAAAAATATTTTAGAGGTATTTTGATCTATTTATTTTTTACAAATTATTTTTTTGATATTCTTATTAGATTCTCTTATTTTTGAAGAATACTTTCCTAAAAATTTCAAGTTATTTAAATTTATAGAAAAAACATTAAAATTCAAATAAGTCATGACTGTCAGATCAGCCTAGATTCATTATTATATAAACTATTTTAATATTATTACGAAAATGTATAGTTTTTAATTAAATATTAATAAAGTATTATTAAATAATATTGTATATTAAATATGGGTAATGATCTTATGAGACCCTCACACAGTTATGTGTGTAGGATCGCTATTAAATTTGACGCATATCTCTAGAAAAATTATCACATGGGATGAACTTGACTTTTGTAGAGATCTGTACCAAATTTAATGGTAATCCTTTGGGGTCCTAGACACATGGGTGTGGGAGGATCTCTATGATCATTACTCATTAAATATTATTTGAATAATAACACCATTTGGGGCAAGTCCACATAGACCCAAACCCAATCCAATATTTAGACCCCAGCACAACCCGTAGGCTCCATTATTTGGACCCATACCAAGGTCAGAGTCCAGTGCCACCTCAATTCTCCGAGTGGGTTCAAGTGCAGTTGGGTTCTCAAAATTCCATATATGCTTTTTTGTTGAGAATAAAATATAATTTTGGTGTAAAAATTTATTAATATGGCTTGAGAATTTATTTTCATCTCTAGTTATAAAATCTTAAAATTAAAAAATAGTTCAAATCAGTAGATCGATAAACGCTTGAAAATGGATAGTCCAGATAACGTATTGCAAGATACATTATTTTGACGACTCAAAACCGTTTTTTCTTTTCATATTCATACATCTCGATGTCGAGATGATCAATTATATGGTTTTCCAATATCAAACCAATGTTTCATGATAGATATTTTAGGTGCATCTTAATCCTACATTTTAAAGTTTCAACCTTATGTAAATTTTTATTTTTTGTATTTGTATGTGTGTGTACATGTGTGTGTGAGAGAGATTAAGATTGACGACAATGACTTTAGTTAATGTATGCAATAAACAATGGGAAGACTTTGACCAGAGTCAATTGATAAGTGGGTCGTTCACGTTTTGTTAAAAAGAAGAATTACATTTCGCTCCCTTATCCGAGAAAGAAGAATATGTGGGGACCTCGGACCTCCCTGGAACTGAATTCTGCTTAGTCCATAGAGCGGCCGGAGATCCCCATCTTTAGATCACTGTTTTTCTCAAAAAATAAGAAATAAAGCACAATCTGAGGATAGAGACGTCGGATCCCTGTTTTTCTAAAAAATTAGGAAAGAGAGCTGTCCAAGGAGGGGGACCTTGGACCACTTCAGAACTAAGGCCTGCTCAGTCCAGAGGGTGGTCCAAGGATTCTAATCTCGGACCGCTTAGGTGTTGCCTCTAAAGCTTAAGGCACCGCCGTACAAACCAAAAAAAAAGGCGTTCCAAGGATGCATCCTCGCACTAAGGGGAAATTTTAGGTGGGAAAAAAAAAACGCGTATTGACTGGCCTTATTTGTAATTTTTGCCTATAATCAGCTTAATTCATAATTTAGATAAAGTCTTTGGGCTCTTGGTAAATCAAATTCTACAAATCCATTTCCATGTCTAATAACTTTGGAATCTCAGTTTGACTGATACAGTTAGCTAATTTATTATATAGAACCAAAAACCAGGGAAGCAATTGCTGAGAATTAAAACAATCTTACAAATTTATGCTTACTTTTATACTTCACTTGGCATCTGCTATAGAGAGTCTATGTGTGTGTTCGAATTCAGTAAAGAAAGAGGTCAGTCATGGGGGACTCTCTGCTCTCACAAAAAATCACTTGCCCCATGCCTGTTTCTTATGTTAAGCTTAATCAGCATTTTCTTTTGGGTTGGATCTTCGTGCCTGGAGAGAGAAAGAGCAACTCTCATGGCATTCAAAGCTTCCCTCCATAATCAGACCAGTGCATATGAGCTATTAAATGCATGGGAGGGAAGGGATTGTTGTTGGTGTGGTGAGTGAGGTGCGGTAATGAGGGTCAGGTTGTTGGTTTGGAATTGGGTTATTTGGGGGGTTGCGTTGCGAACGGAGAACTTAATGTCAATCTCATTCTCTTCTTAGGCTTGAAGGACTTCAGTTCCTCAATCTTGCGGGGAACCAGTTGGGTGGTTCGTTGACTGTTAAAAGTGCTGAATCTCTCACAATTGGCACTGTTTTTCTCTTAAATTTATTGTTCTATAGGAGGCAGTTAAGATCATGCCATCAGTTTAGAGGTTCATTATTAACATTTCGTATGCTTTCAAAGTTTTACAAAGCTGCGTGTGAGTGTTTGTTGTTACACATCTTGCAATTCCTCGAGAGAGTAGCAGTGCTATAAAGAGACACCAATATGTGTGTTTGTTTGTGAGAGAGAGACAGCCATGGTTGCAAATTGAGCGAGGAGCAACAATACAAATAAATTACTTTTGCCTAGACGTTATCATCATCATCAGAGTGTTTTTTCAACCATTTGAGGTGGAATCAATGTTAGAAAAATTGGGCAATCTGCCGGTTCTGGGCTCGTCGGGAGTTTTGGTGATCGGCGGGTATTTAAAAAAATATATTCAAAAAATGTATATAAAATCCTAAAAATAAGGAATTTGGTTTCTTTTAAAAAAAATATTCATTAATTTTCCACTTCAGTTGAATGTGTTTTGTTTTAATCATTTTTTATATGTTTTTCACATTTTAGTAGATTTTTTTTGTATCTTTTTTTATTTTTTTCAACAATTTATTGACCGCCCGGGACTTCCCCTGCTAGAACGGTTGAATCGGCCGGTTTTACCGCTTCCAGCCCCATGTCCGGTTACCTGTTCCGGTTTGATTTTGCGAACACTTGATCGAATACACAAATCCACGTCTCTATTGTGCTCTATCAAGGAGCAATAAGTCCACATACCCTCAATGAAGCCCTAAACCGCTTTATCATGAGCCTTTATCTAGTAATTCTAGAAAAACATGAAAAGTAATGTCATTCCCTCTAAATACTAAGAAATTGGGATAATTGAGATGAATCGGCAAAAAATGGAGCAACTGGTTTAAAAAAAAGGCACCAAAAAATCACATTTCCCATTTCGGCAACATCGAATAATTTTGGAACTTTTTAAGTAGCACATAAAAAATTCCCAGATTCCCCCATAATGGAAATTCCAGGGGGTTTTTCCTCATTCCTGATGCTACTTTTTTTGTTTGGTCTTTGCATAGCTTTCCAGGCTAAAAAACTTGCAAACTTTGGACATGTCGAGAACAACTTGGATGGCTGGTGGACTACTAAAGGTGCTGAATATCTCTCTATTTCTCACTCTTGGCACTCGTTCTATTTAAATTAACGGTTCTATAGGAGGGCAGTTGAGATCATGCCATCAGTTTAGAAGTTCATTATTAACATTTGGTATGCTTTCTAAATTTTACAAAACTACGTTAGTGTACGTCGTTCTGGCAATTCCTCGAGAAATTAGCAGTCTTATACAGAAACACCAGTTTTGCCACTCTCCAGAGAGTAGCAGTCCTAGGATCAAGAGAAGTGACCCTCTAGTCTTTCTCAGACACTCTCCCGCATCTCTCTTTTGCTATTCTCTCTCAAAAAACTTTGGGATAGACATGAGGAGGAGTTTGGGAGATTTACGAGGAGTGAAAAAGAAAAACACACGAAGAGTGGGGGTTTAGAAAATGATTTTTACTCGAAATTTGTTTAGATTAAAAAGTTAAGATAAAAAATAATAAAGTTGGTCTAGCGGTTAAAAGATATAATGGAAGGAATCCTTATTCTAAGTTTTGAAACATTAGGATCCATAGAAAACTGAAATCTTAAAATGAAGTTTACAAAAATATTTTTTCTAAACATTAAAATAAAACCTAAAAATAAGATGTACAAAGATATTTTTCTTGTATAATAATAGTTTATTTAATTTACACTCATCGACGGTAAAACAACAATAGAAATTCTAAGTTGGTTCTATTATTGACTTGGCGTCTCCAGGTTAAGGTCCCACACGTGTGATGGGACACTTTTATTTAAAGTTTACAACGCTTCATCTACCGTTAGTTGTCTTCGGATGGACCACTTCCTTTCCAAAAAGAATGTATAACAGGTGGGTATGTTGTGCTCCCACAAGAACATATAATGTACATTTACTACCTTTGGGTGAAATATTTTCAAACTAAATTGTAGGATTCACCTAAAAATCATCCGATAACTATTTTTCAAGGAAAAGTATATAAATAGACCATTCACTCTTGTCTTTTAGATTTCAAATCAAGTGGTTGTAAATATATTATTTATTGGACTCAAAAGAAATAAATAAATAAATCTCGGACTTCGTGACATACCCCAAGGTCTCCAAATAGCTAGGAGTAATTGTGACCTTCTTGTGAGAAATATAAATGGTCTCATAGTATATGATCCCATTTTTCAAAAGAAATTTGGATTTTGAGTTGGGCTTAAATCTCACTATCCAAAAATTGGACAGTCTGTATTCAATCTTAGCATGGTAAGTTTTTTAGGTTTTCTTTGGAGGTTAGCAGCTAGGTTTAAGTTATTACATCTCAAAAATTTGAGGTGCTAAAGCAGAGGTGGAAATGGTCAGGTGGACCCAACAAGTTGACGGGTCGACCCAACACGGGGTTTGGATTTGGACCCAAATTTTCGATAGGGTGGTTAAGGTTTCAGCCCAAATGACATGAACACGACTTTGGTGGGGTCTGGGAGGGTCTGGTCAAGGTTGACTTGACCAGTTGCATATATACAAAATGCATATAGGTGAAAATGAACAATATTTTTGCCCATAGGCTTAATACCATCCGATTTTTTCCAACGGCATGGATTAAAGACCATCAGGGATTAGCATGTCCGTGGTGGTAATAGCAAGTCCATGACTGGATTTTTTCCACGTAAATTTGATGCAAAAAATATAAGGGGACCACTACAGCTCCGGTAGGTCCATGGCGAGTTTTAAGCAAAATTGTCATGGACATAGTATGTCCGTGACAGGGGCGAAACACTGCAGCACCTTGCCTATTGGTGTTTTTAAGACTTTTCCACACACACACACACATACGCATATATATATATATATATATATGGGCATTGATCTAATGCACTAATACAACAACCCTTCTAGAAAACCATTTTGGGGTATCTGTATGACCCAAAATTTTTCACACACACTTTCCTCATCTCAATAATCAATCCAAAAAATAAAAAGTTCAGTTTGAACCCTAGATGTTGTCAAAATGAGTCCCCTCCAACAATGAATCTAGGCCATTTATTTTGTGAATTTCTAGATCTTAGCCTTTACAAAATCAAAATATTTGTTTTTTTTCTTTTTTAACATTGTTTATCTAATGATAATAAAATCATCTACAAAATTTGAATAAGAAAAAATCCTTCTAAAGCCTAAATCTAAGCATCTTATCAAAATCGACGGCATATGTTAATTGGGCAAAAAATATACTTTTTAAGTTGCATTTTCAAATTTTTGTTTTTGTGATTGTTCATTAGAATGAAAGGAGTGTATAATTTAAATTTTTGGATCAAACAAATGACCCTAACACTTTTTTTGAATATTGTTGTATTTTATTACTATAAAACTGTTGCATGAAAGCACTGCCATATATATATATATATATATATATATATACACAATTATTTTTTATTACTATTAATAAATTA